AGCTAATTAAGTGTTAATATTAAGTTAACTATTAGTGGTTGCTTTTTAGTGTTGGGTTGGGAATTTTTTTTTTTTAAATGGGGGTAGGTTAAAGCAACCCTGTTGACATAAAATAATAAACTCACATCATCCTCCAAAGGAAGCAGCTTCATAACTACCTTTCCATCAGGCGCTGTGTAAATTCTTTACTCCCTTGAAGCGTTCTTGCAAACCCCTCGCCCCAGTCATGTAGGGTTTGGCAGGAAGAGCCAGCACCAGTGTGGAACACAGTATCCAACACACCCAGAAGTGTCAGACTGCAACGGTGCCAAAAGGTGTTCAAAGAGAGCAAAATATTCTCTTGCCACCACCAGAAAGGTAAGTATAAAGCTGCTTCTTTTACATGGTACTTAGTGTCTCAGAAAGTATTAAATCCAGCGTATCAGCCCAGCAAGTTGCATTTTAAAAGACAAAAAGAAAACTCTCTAACCTTGTGCCAAATCTCCAGAAAATTTTTTAAAAAAAATACTTTAAACACTCTCAAAGGTATTTAAAAATCAGCATATATAACACACAGCATCCATCCAGCTTTGCTGCATAGCCTCATATCACCGGATACAGATGACCAACTGTAGGACCCTCGGACCTTCAGAGCTGTGAAGAAGAGGGCCTCAAAACGCATCAGTACTACGTGAACTGAGACAGTGACAGAGGACTGCATAACAAGATTTGCAGTTGGTCATCTATATCCAGTGATTTGAGAGGATCTTTACCTGGACGGATGCTGCGTGTTATATATATCAAGTACTATTGTGAGTATTTGAAATAGTTTGTTAATAAAGGTTTACCGTATATACTTGAGTATAAGCCGAGATTTTCAGCCCATTTTTTTTGCTGAAAAGTGCATTTTGCACGAGGTCTGTGCTCTCTCTTTTTTTCTCATTTGAAGAATTCCCTAGTCTAAAGAGAGCTGCAAGGCCGAGAGCACTGTCTAGCTGCAGTCCCATTGGATCATGTGAATGAACTTTGGACAATCAGTTACCATAAGGATTGTATCCTTTAGCACTGGAGCGCTGGCTGTGAGTAAATCTTTTATAAGATGCCTTTTTAGATGATGGCAAGCAACAGCAGCTTCCATGTTTCTTTCAGAACAGTTTTCCTTTAAGTGAACATGTTCTTTGCACAAACCTGACAAAGGTAACAGGGTTACCCTAAAGGGGGGACCGCATAGAGTAAGTTCTTGCATTCCTTGCACTCCCCACTGACCTAATTCTCCAGCTGTGCAAGAGTTGCTATACGTACAGTATTCAGGTATTTTCTCTTGCTGTATTTAAAAATGCAAGTGATCATTTTGGACAAATGTTAAATTGTGTTGTTTTTCCCAAGTTGTGTTAATCCCAAGTTGTTATATGTATGTATGTATGTTCCTATATGTACAGTATTCGGGTAATTTCTCTTGCTGTATTTTAGGGGGAGAAAGTAGGGCGAATGTAGAGAATGTTACACTAAAACCTTTATAAATATACCCCTAAGATGTATATTCTTATATGTACGTATGTTCCTATATGTAAAGTATTCAGGTAATTTATCTTGCTGTATTTAAAAATGCAAGTGATAATTTTGGACGGACGTTAAATTGTGTTTTTAATATACTGGTCTGGTGTTCAGCTCTAGGTTGAGGTTAATCAAATTGTTAAAGTCCTCAAATCAACAATATAGAACCATTCAGTTGTACTGTATATGATTAAGACTTGAAATCAATCCTCTTAGAACGGCTACATAATTGTACAAGAGCTTAACTGGTCTTATTGTGATAAGGGTCACATGACTTGGCCAGATAAGCCATGAAGTTGGCACAGGGTATCCCGACCTTTGGACCACCTCTGGCCTCAAATTGTGACAAAGAAAGTGTAATCATAATACAATCAGACAGAAATTTGTGATTGCTTCATTTTTATGAACAGAAGATAAAAAAAATATATAAACTGGCAAATTAAACAAAACCATAACTATCATACAACATACATCTTAGGGGTTTATTTATGAAGGTTTTAGTGTAACATTATCTGTACATTCGCCCAACTTTCTCCTCCTAAAATTTACTGGGCAACATTCATTTTTAAATTTTATTCATTTTTTAAATGTCAGCATGTTTATCTTTTCATTTGACTCTTATATCAACACACATGGTGAACTTAGACGTCGAAAGGTCCCCTAAAGCCAATTCACCAAATGGGCAAGTAGATGGCAAATAAGCTAACCCCTCACCCCATTCCAGGCAAAGGGGTTGCCATAGATCAAATGCTTTTAAAGGAGCACCAATATTGAAGGTATGCAGGTTAAAACTAACATGGCAAGGGGCTGCATACCTGTAATTATTTTGCCATTGGGATACTAGTTGGCATGCCTTGTGAGCCGCGTTGGTTATGATAGAAAGGATTTTTTTATTTTAGTTTATTTTTTAAAATATATTTAATTTTATATATATATATCTATATAGATATATAGATATATATATTTCTTAAATGTTATATATTTAATGGGTTAAAAATGTGGGCCTGAAATAGCAGGTAAATAAAAGTGAATATTTGAATGTTTAGAAAGAAAGATTTACTGGCAAATTTGCCAGTGAATCCTTTATAAATATACCCCTTAATACTGTTGCTTTACTCTAGCCCCCAAATCATTCAAATGCATGCGGTAGACACATCACTTTTGCAATGAACAATTAAGAAAATGTTCCCCTCAGTAGTTTTGTTTTTCAGAATGCACTAAAAAGAAAAAATAAATGATTTGTTTATAACACAAATATAAACCTGTCTTAGCTTTTTATCATATACTGTGGCTTTCTTTTTGATTCAACCTTGAAAGATTTAAAGTGACTGAAATAATGTCCTACTGTTTGATATTTCCTACATATAAGTATGGAAACAAATGGATTATTATTTAGTCAGATTAAATCCCCCATGGGCATGATAAACGTGTATGCTTTTAATTTATTGGCCACCTTTTTTAATAAACATGACATGGCCTGAGTGGCCACACTGAAATTGTAACATTACTTGGCATTTTGAGGCTATGTTGGGTATTCTTGGCCATTCTTTTTGGGCACAACTTAGCGCAAAACTGCCATTGGCCAAACAAAATTTACAAACAGTTCCCTGCCAAAGAAGAGGAATTTTACTGATGTTGATCTTTGCTACCTTGGAGCACTACAGCTTTTGTCAGAATCTTCAACATTTGGCGGTTCCAGGTGTGTCAGATAAATGTGTCTCCTCCTCCATCCCCTGTGCGCTGTGTTTTCATCCTATAACCCCTATGTCACTACAGGACAAGCAGTGACATATAGGATTTGAGGATGGAACCCCGGTTTGCAGCAGGGGACACTGGCACCCGACACTCTTGGAAGTGCCGAGTGCTAAAGATTCTGGTGGAAACTAGCGTTGTAATGGAGCAAAGATTGGCTTCATGGATCACCAGTGAAGTTATATTCTCTTCTATTGTTTTTTATATATATTTTTTTGGGCGGGGACAACAGTCTCACTTTAAGAGGAAAGGCTCCAGCTGATATCAGGTTAGCTTGGCATTAAAGCCAAAGAACATACTTTCCAAGCTCAGGCTGGATTAAGCAAAATGGCACTCGTGGGATAGTGCTAGTACAACACAGCAAAACCAGGCCTCACAATTTACAAAGGGTATAATTTTTGTTTTGTTTTCCCCTTCTGTCCTCTGCCTCGGGACATGTGTAGCTAAATTAATTATGGAAAGGACAGCATGCAGAAGGCCCAATGGATATAAAGCAGACCTTGTAATCACATGACACAAGGGGTGGGGCTTGTACAAAAGGGTGTTATCATTCAAGTGTGCCTAGGTAAGCGCAATGTCCAAGTATGGGCTGCTTCCCAAAACTCAATATTGATTCAAATGTTTTTCAATAGCAATTAGGCAAAATGGGTGATAAAATCAGAACCTTGTAAAGGTATCATTTTTTTATTTTTATCTAGAGTAATATATATAATGGTTACATACGACATACTATCTGATGTGTTGGCACCCACAAGGTCTACAGTTTCACAGTTTCATTTTTGGCACGATGGGGTTAAAAATCATTACCATTATACTGGGGGTACTGTTCAGTTATCATGGACCTACTTATAGCTATTTGCCTTCACACCTTCATAAAAACCTTTGTAGGATTTTATTTTAAAAAAAAAAAAGACTGCATTAATATGTTCACGCTGGATTAAGGAGATTAAGGGGGGACATGATTTTCATGTACAAAATGTTCTATAGTCAGAGCGACATTAGTAACAAACTATTTACGAATAATTCCGTAACAAAGACTAGAGGCCACCACCTGAAACTGGTAGAAAAAAACATTCAAACACAAGGGGCGAAGGGGGTTCTTCTCAGTTCGAGCGGTTAGGGTCTGGAACTCGTTGCCACAAGCAGTAATTTCAGCTAATAGTGTGGAATCGTTCAAGAAGCTTTTGGACGATTTCCTGAGAAACGGTAAAATACAGGGGTACAGGTACTCCTAATAACGAGATGACACAGGGACCCATACACACACACACAATAGGTTGGACTTGATGGACATGTGTATTCAACCTCAAATACTATGTAACTATGTATGTAACCCCTACCTCCGATACATCCAAATTGGCCATATCTGGACTCACCACAACTTCTGGTAAGCCCTGTGAAACTAGAATGGCTGGGTATGATGGCCTTTGTCACAATAAAGGGTTAATATGAATAGCGTACACTTTCTCTCCATCATCTTTTATCTATCCCAGGCAGATTAACAAACATAACAGTGTAATTATTGACAAATGCTGTGTGCTAAGCCGCTTAATGTATTTTTTTTTAGGTTCCAAGCATATTTCTGGCTGGGCAAGGCGAGAGCGTGCAAACCAGCTGATGGATGCACTGGTCTGTTTGAGTTCTGATCTGACATAAAAGATTAAACAGACCCAAAGGAACAGAGCCATCTCCATAAATCATACATGGTGTCTCACCTGGCATGCATTGTAGAGCAGCTGATGTTCGAACTTCTTGATCCCCAGAATCTGTTGGAACATTTCGTACAGCTGTTCTTTGCTGAGGATAAGTTCCGATGCGGCGCTGGCGGTCATCCTGGCTTGCTGCTTCCGGGGGTCTTCTTCTCCTCGGTAGATGGCATCAAATTTAGCCATCCAGGAACTCAGAACAGTCTCCTTGCTGAGGCCGTCGATCTCCGGGAGGCTCCTCACCCTTTTTTCTATGTGCTTTTTGAAGACCTCCCGGGAGTCGTTGGCAGAGCAGCCCCCGCTCTGCACCATTCTTGCCACGCGGTCACTCTTCAGGAAAACCTGCAATTCCAGATACAGATGTTACTGGATAAATTGGGCTTAAATAGAACTTCAATGACTAAAACATAAATTTCAATTACTATGTTGTGGCTTAAAGAGGCTATTGGTTTCACATTCCTTCCTTAATTTATCACATGGTTGTAATTAAAGTGCATGTAAACCAAAAATCTATTTTTCAGCAGGGCCAGATTTACTATTAGGCAGAGTAAGTACGTGCCTACAGGTGCCCTCCACAGAGGGATGCCAACCATGTATCTACTCTGCCTAATTCCCAGTGTTATGTCAACAACATGATACAATATATGATACAACACCGGCAAAAGCAAAGAGGGTGCATTCGGCACAAAATGCACCTTCCTGCTCCAAGACCAGCGGCGCCTACAGGAACCACTGGCTACTGCAAACACATATGTGAAAGTCGGCGGGTCCCGCAGCAGGTAGACCACCGGCCTCTCTGCAGTCCTGTCTTCTTTCAGGTGGAATGATCCCGAGCTTTATTCTACAAACTTCCTGTGAGCCAAGGCCGTCATGGACACACCCCTAGCCTAGGCTCACTGTATTCCTGCACAGAATACCATTCTTTGTAGCAGTTATGACTGCCCACCACTGACACTAGACAGGAAGAAGGACTTGTGATGTCACATGACCAGCCAGTAGACAACTGGATTTAAGGTGTGTGTAAAGAGAAATAAAAAAAATAGGTGCAGGGGGGGTTAATTTGCACCTTTATAGATGACATCTTTAATTACAACATTCTCACATTATGTTGTTACTGTTTTATTAATCACAATACAATTTATTATAAATGTTTGTCCAGCACATATATTAGATAATAATATATCAAGCCAAGCTACAAATCTAATATTATATAATATTATTATACCTAAATATTAGTTTACCTCGATATTAGAAACCTGCGGTTCTTAATATGAGAGAATCCACAGTTGGCTGTGTTGCACATTAAGCATCCATTTTGCATGCTGGAGAGTATGAAAGTCAGCACAGGAGAGATAAACAGCAGGCAACACACAACATAAAACGTCTAAGAATGGTTTCCTGGCAATATCCAGACCAATTGCTGTTACTACATCTTTCAGATAACCTTTACAATATCAGATACACTTATTGGATTATTAATGTATAAGCAGAATTCCAACGCAGATTTAAAGTTTATGGTGAAGGATAAGGACATTGCAATAGATACTTCCTGCAGTTATTGACATCCGTTCAAAAGTTTAGTCATGAAACTTCTGTGCTTTAAAATAATATATGTACACTATTCTGGGTTTCGGTCATATTTCAGATTGTAAGTGGCATGTGAATAGAGCAATAGAAGATGACCTATACTATCGGGCTTATGTAATAAGGAAAAACTTAATGTGCAAAGTGGAGTAACCCAACACAGGGAAGAATTTATTTTTCTTTGCAAGAACAAAATATTTTTGGGACCTGCTACTGACTGGTGGGTCACCAGTGGATCCAAAATTATAAATCAAGGTTCAGTTCTGTGACACAGTTCAGTTACTTTGTCACTGTTGTCTTGATGAAAGAGCCCAACAGAGACCCCAAAATGATGCATTTCTTCCTGAGAAAAGAATAAAATGTTTTCCTTTACTTATTAAGGTGTGCTGGTGACGCAATTATGTTCATAAACAACAGCACTATCTGTTGACTTGTCACTTCAGCACCCACAAAGACCTGGGTATGCACATTGTATGAATTGCACTGATCTGCATGGTTCTCTATTTTACTACTGATCCTTTCATGTGATGGGCAGTGCTGGAGACCAATACAAAGACAGCAAGAAGAAGAAGCAGGTAGCTCTCATCTTTTATTTCTTAAAGTGACACTAAACTCAGGAGTTAAATCTTAAAAATGTATTCAAGTATCCTTAACTATTAACAACAATGTATCTTATTTGTGTATCACTCAGCTGTAGATCCTCAAATAATCTCGGAATTGGTGCTGGCACTGTCCTTCCTTCTGGAGGGCGGCTACTTTAGTTCCCCATGGTCCCTGTGTGTGTTGTAAAGTAGCCACTGCTCCAAAGTCCAAGGGAAAAATGAAGACGTAACGGTACTGTTCCATTTTTTAACGGGAACCTCTTACCTCATAGTAACTCTGTACTGCATTCATGAAGGCCTCATCAGCCACAATCTGTGTTTCTCCATTGAAGAAGGCTTGGAACCGATCCTTAACCGTCTGCAGTTGCTGCTTACTAATCTGTAAGAGACAAGACACAAAAATTAAATGTGATTTCATGGTGCAGTTGCCATCATGTCCGTACAGGTCATGGATAGTAATTTAATTATTATAGTAATAAAGTAATTACTGAACCCTCTTAATGTATCTCGTTAATGCAATTAGGCTATATATACAGTAATGAATATGCCTCTTTATTCCCTTTTTTTTATCAGCTAAGCACATGGGAGAGTGGGACCACGGCTCTCATAGAAAATCAGTGGCCCAGTTTTCCTGTTGTTTGACACCTGCTACTAAACAGTGTCAATCAACATCACTCTTGCTCCCTAAGCAGGAATGTTGATTGGAGCAGTGTTCAAGGCGGCATGTAGGAACCTCGTGTGCAAGAGCAAGGTTCTTACATGCCCCCTTGAACACTGCTATAATCAACATTGCTGCTTACCATCAATTTACATCATCTGCTTGGTACTATAAAAGACTCTGCTAGTACTGCCAGAGCAGGGATTTTTAACCATTGCTGCAGCACTTAGCAAATAAAAAAGTAAAAAAAAAAGTATATGAATTATTGTATATGTATTCTATCTGCATTACATTAATAAATTAAGAGGTTCAATTAGGCTTTAAGTCATGACATTGGACAGCATTGAACTATTGTTTGCAGACTATTTTACAACTTGATCCTAGATTTAAATTAAAGCCCAATTCCAACAAACACTTTTTAAGCAGTTACAGCAACAGGTTTCATTTTCTTTTGAAGAAAAAAAGGTTTAGGCCATATGAATGAAAGTTGACAGATGCTAGCTCCCCCTGCAGTGTCATATGGCCATTCTGCTAGACAGCTTGGCCTGTTACAGGAAGTGTAAAATAATGGATAAACTGACAGGTTCAACAGAATATTAAAAGTATGACACAGTGAGGACTGGAAACAGCAAAACCTACAGGGTTATTCATAACATAGCTGAACTGGAAAGTGAGCTGAATTGGAGAATGTTTCCAAATCAGCTATTTTGTCCTAGATTGTTCACTTCTCCTGCCTTCTCCAAACTCTTCACCCTTTTGTGAATAACCCTGATAGTGTTAATGTTACTGATAGACTACATAGTATATTTACATTTGCTAGTTCAACTTTAAATGTACTGTCAACTAACGCTCAGTTTTCACTATTGTTGCCATGCTGCCAGATATGCCTAGGAAATTATTAGGGATTATGGAGAGCGCAATACTCCACAAAATGGCAATCTCAAACTTGAATTACTATGCAACAAAGCAGACCGTATAAAGACAGGGTCTATATATAACATGCCCAAGCATATTAAATATTTATACAGCATCTATGTTAAAAAAGTGAAATTTAGCAAATTACCATGAATATTTGGTCAATCCACAGAGGAGTTCATAAAATATTCAACCTGATGTTCTATGCATTGATCCAATATTCATTAGAGAGTTCAGGAAGCACTTTGTAAACACAGCGTATATAATGCTTTGTACTCATGATCTGTAAATATCCACACACTTTGGTAGTTGAGTGCCTGTCTATCCAGTTGTATATGAAGTCTGCGTTACACCTTAATCTGGAGAAGTGACCATTCAGCACAAAAGCGCCATTGGTGTTTTAATCAATATCATATTGAAGAAACTCAAACCTATCAGATCGGAGAGCACTTGATTCTTAATCCCATCACCTTGGACCTCTGCAACACTAGCCATACACATTGATTTTTGTACACCTACATCACCCCAACTCTCCTGATGCTTTCCATGCTGGGTTAGGACTGGGCTTCCTCAAGAATCAAGTAGGACCATGGACTAACACATGAAGCCGTGTGGAGACAGATATATTCTCCACAAGTTCCAACTCCAGGTTGCATTTGTAACTCTTTTGGTCTCTAACCTCCAACCTCACAACCAAAATGTGCAATCTCTCCAGATGTAAATTACCAGCTCACATTTTCTACCATCAATTTACATCATCTGCTTGGTACTATAGAATACTAAACCATAAAGGGCTCTCCCACCTTCCCTCTGTTTTCTTTTTGCTCATACAGTTTTTTTGAGAGAAACAAACCATAGGTACATTTTTGGGCAAGCTGCACAGGTCTGTAACCCCAAAACATGATTTTAAAGGAGAATTATGAGGTGAGTGCTTTTCACTCAGCCTCATAATCTGAGCCGACCTGTGACAATGAAACTGTCACAGGTCGGCTCAGTAGATCGGGAAGTGAGCAAACACATACCGGCGCTCGCTCACTTCTCGATCCTGTCACGGCAGAGAGCCGTGACAGAAGAGTGACTGGATTCTCCCCTCACCTGTCCGATCATCCAGCGCTGACTGGCGGAACGGAAGGGGTGGGTACAGACGGCTCTGCCTCTAGATAGGCAGAGCCAGCTGTCACTCACGCAGCTGGGCGGATCCAGACATAATTGTTGGGATCTGTTTCAGCTGCAGCTTGCGGTATACTGAGCTTTGGGTAACAGGAGGACGCTAGTTTGTGTCCTACCGTTACCCTTCGGAGAACTATGGGGAAAAGCCCTAACCCCATTGTTCTCCTTTAAGGAAGATAGATGCTGATTAGCCTGCCCAAAAATCAGTCTTACAGTTCTTCTGCCACATCTTACATTTAATAAGCTGACTACTACTCATATAGGTTGGGGACTGCATGCTAATCCTTGCTGCTGTCAAACAAAAGTGTTCATGAGCACAAAAAGAAGCAAGAAGCCTCTTTTGGCCTACACATATCAATTGGCCTTTACTGTATCAGTTTTTATGTAGTACCGTGGCCCAGTCTCTATCCGATTAACCAGATATATCTTGAGTTGGAGCCAGGAGTACTATGGACTCATACACACAGGCCCCCCGAATTAAGTACTTGGAAATATTTCCTGAGATCCATCCAACACTCCCTTGGGCTGTGTCTGAAACTATAATGTGAAAGGGCAGAATACATTGCAACACTCAGAGAAGCCTTAAAGATGAGCTTCAGGCAGATATAAAACACCACTAAAAGAAGCACGTAAGTATGCATAAAAAAAAAAAAAAGCTATATGTCTTTAATTGCAACTAGAATAGGCTAATTTAAATTGGTATCAACTGCCTGTCATTGTTTGCACAGCAGCACTGGGAGAGGAAGAAGCAGCACTAGAAGCCAATTACAAGCCAATTGCAAGGTTCATGCCGTCAGAAGAAGAAAAAGATTACCAATTTGTTCTACTGCTGCCCCTTTACTGTCCAATCAGTCTTGGGGAAGTGAGGTCACTAGGCTGTACTGCAAAACTGCAGTAGGGAAAACATCAAGTCATCAGCTATGCAGTGGTCTCTGGCAGGCCTGCTGAGATCTTAGGGCTGGCTAGGTAAAATACAAATCCTTTGGCAGGTAAAATGGATTCTATATATGAAATTTTACTTGGATGCCAATCTTTGAGCTTACCTTTTTTTTTTTCAATTCTAAGTTTTGATGAGGTTTTATACCTGTTCTGTCCTATGTATATAATTGTTTTACAAATAAACATTTAGGGGGTTATTCCCTATTGAGTGAAAGGATTAAGCTGAAGCATTGGCTAATCCTTCGGCTCAATTCGGCTGCCAGAGCGACCTGAACCAAAGGGCTGCTGTACGAGCTATTCACAATATGTGTTTGCCAGGTGCGGACGGTTCGGAGTGCAGCAGGCTGGACGCTGTGATTGACGTGGAGTACTTTGTTGGATCCATTTAAAAAAAAAAAAATCAGTTTCAGGAATTGTCAGTTGTCAATTTTCAGTGTTTTTTTTTTTTCAATTAAAGTACTTTTTCAAAAGTGTGGTCTTTTTATTTACAATTTTATTTAACCCTTTAGTGAATGAGTAGGTGTACAACTACCCCTACTCATTCACAAGGGGGCACAGCATCTGGATGCCCCCTTTATGAAAGGGGGTACCACAATGCAAATAAGCCCCCTCAACCTCAAGGTTGTGGCGCAAGAGGCCCTTGTCCCCATCAGCATGGGGACAAGGTGCTATTCCAGGGGGACCCTTGAAAAGCACCCTCCCAGTGCTGAGGGAAAGTGGCCTGGTATGGCAGGGAGGGGGGATTATGGGTCTGGTTGGGAATTTTAGGGGGACCCCACGCTTTTTTTCCCTAATTTTTGCGGGTGGGGTTCATCCTTAAAATTCCTACCAGACCTAAAGGCCCGGTATGACTTTTGGGGGAAACCCTACACGTTATTTGTTTTTTTAAACCTGTAGTCCCTCCTAACTTTCCTACCAGACCTAAAGGGTCTGGTGTGGATCAGGAGGGGGACCCCAAGCCGTTTTTCTTTTATTTACATGTGATTTTCTTTTATTCTGCTCGCTACTTTGGAGGTAGTGAGCAGAATAACCGAGCCGAGCCGAACGGCACTCGATTAGTCACTCAGTGCCGTTCGGCCCCTATGAGAATAGGGGCGAGCGGCAGCGAGTGAACTGCCCGAGGTTCGGGTCAGCCGATCCAGATGTTAGATCAGCTGAGTCGAACATGTTCTTCACTTCGGCTCAGCTGAACATGCTGAGCATGTTCGGCTGAACCAAAGCCAGCCGATGTATGGCCTATTTTACAGGGTTCGGCTCACTTCACTTCGGCTCAGTTATTCACTCGGCTGCCTTTGGCAGCTTAGTGAATAACCACTTAGTACGAAATAAAGTAATTTCAAAGCACTATGGTTTAGCTAAAGAGAGCACACTGCAGACGTTTTTTCCAATATGCATTTAATTTCCTCCTTGCCCCACTCAAGCTGAATCCCTTCCATTCAGTCTGAGAAACTATCATTAACCCCTTCGGTGCCATAAACTCCAACTCAGGTGCCACTGGGCATAAAGCAAGAGGTTTTTGAGGTGGAATTGCAATGCAACCAATCATATTGCTAGGCAGTGATGGCATCATTAAATCATAAAGGAAAAGACAGCTTTCAGATTCACTGGAAGCAATTTTGCTCTTCTCATTTTTTTTATTTGGCATTTAGATGACAGAATTCTTTACAAAAATGAAGTATTCATAAGCTTCTCCGGCG